TGACTGCATAATGTGCCTCCCAAAAGACAAAATTCAATATACACTAGATAAGTTTAATGCCTTTCATGACACCCTAAAGTTTACTCTCGAAAAAGGTAAAGGAAATTCTATAAACTTTCTAGACAAAAAAAACAAAATGTATGCCAAGGCTTAAAGCAGCAACAACGCTATACATGAAAACTGATGATGGTGGAAAAATACACCGAAACGTATTTTAATTGATAAATAAAGACAATAAATGACTGAAACCCAGGAATTAATTTTATATATATGAAGTATATACAATAATGTCAATGAAGGTTCCTCACTGTTAAATAAATATATTTGGGGCAAAGCCAAAAAGTAAGTCTGCAACAACCCCTATTTACATTGCGGGATTTGAATTGTCCCAAATAGTTGTAACTGGTTTAACAGTTACACACGGAGATTAGCGGATGTTTGAATGCCTTCAGCATCCAACACGGTGGCCCATATTAAATTTCCCAAATGTAAATGCTGTTTGATTAAATACATATCAACTTAAGCGAGCTTTGCATTTACATAACGCCGAGTAACTTAATTCCATGGAGAGCTATTAGGGCGTCTAAGACAGACACGGCAGCCAAATTTCATTCTCAATTTAGAAAATCACCTATCTTTGCTATGTTACGATTTTTCTATATTTCAGGTGTCCTCCCAACCGCCTCCCATTCCCCTCCGACCTCCGCCTGTTCCAAAAAGGACAATACCTGTTCTGTACTCGCCTCTTACGCCCCCTACGCCTCCCATACCTCAACACAGTCCTCCTCTGAACCCGAATGTTCGAAAGAAGTTCCCACAGCCCCCTCCATTACCTCCTACCCCAAAAACTAGAGCTCCACCTTTTAATCAACTGCTACCGAGCCATAAACCGTGCTTGCCGTCTATAGAACAGACTAAAGATTACAGAAAATCTGATGTTAATCGGAACGCCAACACAAACTTTCCATTTGATAATATCAAACCAACAGACAGCGTGAAAAGATCGAACATGAATAATATCAACCGTCAAGAGGCATGCAAGCCAAGCACTCCGAACAGAATGTATAAACCCAACCAACAGGGGAAAATTTCAATGCGGCAAGACTCGGGCATTTCAACCGATAGTTTTAGCCAAAACTCGTCTCCCAGTTACACAACAAAAGGAATGGACACTCCTCTGTTGCCACCGAAGACACATTTGTACAAATCGCAAAATGGAGTCCTGATTGCGAAACTCAAGGATATAAAAGCTGAGGATAATTTGGAGGAAGTAAATGGTATCACCAAGAGCGTTTCTACTCCGGCTGGGCTGCAAACAGTTGTGAGGTTTCATAATGGGTCGAATATGTCGGTTCACCATAAGGTAGATACGATTTTTTGACTTTTGTTCTTGTTAATCCAGCGTTTAGTTCCAACTTGATTTAGCAGAACTTGACACCTGCAGGATTTGATTTCAGTTATTCAAACACACCTTTTCCTTACTAGAGTGTTGTAAATAGTAGCCGATTGTACCGAAACTAATTTTCTAAGTAAATCGTGTGTCATGTTCAACAAGGTTGTGACAAAATCGAAACGCCGTAGCGAAAGGGAATAAATGAAATCCCTTGGAAACGAAATGGCTAAAGCAATAAAAACCAAAAGAGATTAATGATTCCAAAATGCTAAGAAAAATGTCTTTAATTTTCAGAAGCTGTAGGAAAAATTCTCCTGATAAGGGCAATTAAAGCATGTCTCTTCCTTAGGAAAGCAGATGCTCGTGGCCCATCTTGGTGTTTACTTGCCAGGACGCTTCATAAACTGACAGAATTAATATACATGAGCCTCAATTTTCGTTTAGAGATTCATATTCCGAAAGCTTCTCTCCTGAATTTTAAAGATGAAAACAAAATCCATCATTCTAAAATTACGCCTTAAAAGCGGCAACTAATCCGTAGTTCACTGTGAATAAGTTAGCCGCACTGATTTAGTAAATACGTTTCGAATAATACGATCTTTTTCAATTGGAACGTTTGGTTGCTTTTTGAATTTTAGATTCTGCGTGAATCCAGAAGACCGTCAGAAAGTTACAACCATAGATTTTTCTTCAAATTCAGATTCATCCAGTTACTGGTAAACGCGGTTGCATTATTTGCAATTGGAGCGGGTATCGTCGTCTATTTTAGAGGTATTTTTAACCAAATTTGAACAAATCCAATTCGGCCTAATTGCAGCTCTTGCAGCAAATCCGTCAAATGTTGTGACCATAGTAAACAGGACAATAAACGTGACTGCATTGCCCATAAGCAGTGACCATCTAGACGGTAACCCGGCAAAAGGCGTTTGTTTGCCGGTTATTGTCAAATTTTGCCTACAACATCAATTGCCTTATAACTACACCATCTATCCCAATTATGTTGGGCATTTTGGGCAAAGAGATGCGCAAATGGACCTGGAAATATACGACGCAGTAGTTGATGTTCGTTGCTACGAATTAGCCTCCCTATTCTTATGCACGATATTTGTTCCAAAATGTGGACCTCATGGAATGTTGGTTAGACCTTGTAAAAGCATGTGTCTTGGTAAGTTACACTGTTAGTATGACTATCAGGACTCAAACTGAGAGCAAAATCTAGTCAAATTAATTGCAATATATTCAAATGTTTTCACACGCATTCTAAAAGTTAATGAAATACAAACCTTTGCTGGGAAACGCGAGGTGCGAAAAAAGTAATAATTCGTGATTATCCCGAAAACCCCGCAGGTATTACACTTTAGTTCTATCATCCTTACAGTCGGGCCTCTCGGCAAAATCTTTCTCAAACCAACCCTAATCCAGACGACGAAATTAATGATTTTCGCTGTGGCTAAGGTCACTATTAGGACACTCAGTAGGGCCAGCCTCAACCGGATCTTGTCAATATTAACATGTTAGTTTGGGATCCTGTTGCGTTTCAAATAAGCCCTGTCTCAAAGACTGTAATATATTTCATAACTGTTAAAGGTGCCCGTCCCTTCGAAAACAAACTGTTTTGTTTTCATTTTCAGAAACGTATCGCCGATGTGGATTTTTCTTGGACGTGTTTGGCCTATCGCTCCCCAAATATCTGGAATGTGAATTATTTCCCGAGTCCTCCGACCCCAACGTTTGCATCGGTCATGCGGAAGTGAAGGCACTGAAAATTCGCGAATCTAAACCAAGTAAGTGCATGTTTACATTCTTCTCAGTTCTGATCTATTATTCAAACTGACGAAACATATTTTAATCAATTGATGCAATAAAGCCTACTTACACTGATTTTACCCTTGAAGCTGCTGTTCCGAAATATAAATTCCCAGATTAATTGAGATATTAGTGATTCACTTTCAAAAATTCAAATATACCTCGAAGAGAAGTAAAGTGCCTGTTGAAGTTGGCAAAGTATATTGGCTTACACATAAATTAACTTTACAGACTTTTTTGGAATTTCCATTAAAATCATTACTTAATTAATTACACAGGCAGATTAAAATGGTCCTTTTCCATTTTAAACTTGTTTGGGGCCTTTCAATACAAAAACCTTCATTTAAAGTTTTCGAGAAAGTTTTTGTGTATCTTAGATTTTCTGTTGGAGTGTTCGGAATCTTATCTTATTGACCTTTTCAACTGAAGACAAAAATATTTATGTAATATTTTTAGCATTTTGGGGTTCAAGCAACCAGTTTTTTAAAGTTACATAAAAATTTACTTTCAACATTTTTTTTGGCGAAAAGTTGCTTATTGCATTTAAAGCCAATCGTGGAACCCGCACCTAAACCTGCATGGTTTACGCTAATGTCCCATATTTTCGTAAAGCAGCTTATCTAATTTTAAACCAAGACAGTTTAATTTAATATAAAATGGCGTGTTTTTAAATGAAAATTTAGCACGTTGAAATGTTTCCCTTGGCGGTATTTAAATTACATTTATGAATGTTCCCAAAGAAAATTACACTCGAAAGAGAAAATTAACGATAACAAATGAAACACGATCTTAATAAATGCAATGTTGAATTATCTTTCAGTTGTTTTTTTCCGTTTGGCGAAATATTTGCGGGAATTTGAAATGACATTTTTTTAGTACTTAACTTCCAGCTGCCAAAAATTAATTTCTTATCTATACTGAATAGCTTTTTGCTATAAAGAGCCATAATTCAAATGGGATGCAGTCGCGTCTGTTAAAGTCGTATATTCCATCACACGGCGAATAATAAATTACGTCCTAAATAAATTATTATTCTTGACGCGTTTCTCTATCATTTTCCAATGCACATCACGAAATAGCGTACTATAATACACATCAAACAACGCAGCTGTCCCTTGTCATTTATTCTAAGTTTTATAGTTTATATATAAATTGTTATAAAATGCATAATAGGAAATGAAATATTTTATAGTAACAGTATATTACATAAATTGACAGAAACGTATCGAATTTGTCGAAATTTCGCCCCCAATCTTGAAGTAACCTAAAGACTCAATGATATTCCGATAACTCCAAAACGGAAAACCCCATTTAAAATGTATTGGGTCTCGAACTTTCGGTTATCAGTTATTTATAAATTTAACTCGTCATAAACGCCGATTATTCGCAGTATTTTTCCCATTTAGGTCGAGCTTTGAAATTCGAACTTATATTTCAAACGTGTCTTGTTAAACATCGCCCCAGTATGATAAAAAATCAATAGAGACTATATATAATAAATTATAATACCGATATAAAGTAACAAGTTAGCGTAAAGTTGGCACTGATTGCAGTTTGTCCAAGCGGTTTTCAATGCGATGTGAAACGTTGTATACCGAAAGATTGGCATTGCGATGGCCACGTAGATTGCAAAGATCAAACTGATGAGCTAAATTGTAAAAAATGTGGAAAGGACATGATTCATTGCGGATTTAATAGATGCATTAGCCAGCAGCATATGTGCGATGGTATAACCGATTGCCCCTGGGGTCAAGATGAACGAAATTGTCGTAAGTTCGAAGTGACAAGTGAAAAAAAGTTGAAATCTTGATAATGGCTTTTTAGTTCGATTAAGTGAAAGAAACGGTGATGAAGGTGTAGGGCGACTGGAAGTTTTCCGACCTGAAAAACAGAATTGGGTTCAAGCGTGCTTATCAGCGAAGAAAGATTATTCGATGTACAACACTCTGTGCAATAAATTGGGATACCTGTAAGTTAATTTAAATGATTTTCCTTCTAGTATATATTTCAGATGCAATTGAGAAGTTTCCATAGGACGCTTATCATTCTTTATGTGTCGAGTTTACACGCTGTATAGTGGCAAACGGAAATTGAGTCTGTTGGCTATAATGTAATGGAGCATCATTGATAGCAATTTAAAATAAATCACTTGAAATTCGTTTGGGGTTCGCTCTCTGAATACCTTTTCGGCATTGCAGAATACATTCAACATGACCTAAGGTCATATTTCTGGTTCGCGTAAATGTACCGAAAGTTAATAAATTTCTTCAAGATGAATCATTTAAATATTTTCAGAAATCAAAATTCTACTATACAAACCAATTATGACAACCACACCGTATTGGAGGGGACCTTTCAATACACCGCAAAAACAATCGAAAACTTTAACATAATTGATAAATTTGCTACTTGTGGAGAGGGCAATTCTACGACCATCGACCTAGTCTGTACCAAATACGGTAAGTTGTTTGTTTCGTGTCGAATGAAAATATTTCAAGATTAACCCGCCTGAAGGGCATTATAGCAACATTTTCCTAGTTGATTTAACGCGGCATTAACAAAATTTGTATATTCATTAACTTCAGAAAATCTTGAAAGCTTTTCCTGCCTAGTTGCTTTACTGAAATATTGAATAAGTTGTAAAATCCATTTCAATCAGATTTCCCACTGATTCCTATTTTACGTCGATCCGATTATTTTCTCAGGCCCCAATTATGTGGAAACTTGCTTCTTAGGGTGACAACACTTTGCCGATAGTTTCAACTCGAATTTTCCGATTTCTTCGAAAACTCCTAAAAGCCAGAAACGAACTGACACAGGAATGCTGCCCTGAACTTTAGCAACGATTTGAATAAATCTACAATTAAAGCAATATTTTTTTTTAAAGTTGAAACCTAATCAGAACTGATGGCTTGGATTTTATCCGAATAGCGAAACCCACTTGACTTGTGTACCAACGCCAATCAAATGCATTTAAAGTATTATGAGAGACAACACCGTTGTAAAATTCCAGGAAATAAAGCGATCCTCCAGTGTACACAGATGTAGTTAATTGCATTTCAAGTTGGCCATATGTTTTACTTTATTTTATGGATGCAATATTTTCGAGGTTGATTCTTTGCTGATTTGAAGTGTTTGTCTGCATTATTAGTTTTAGCGCAAAAAATTGCTTTTTTTTTGCGTTAAAGTTATAGAATTTATGAATTCGTCTGCACTCTGCACGATCGATCGGGCTGTATGGATAATATTTTTCTAGGTCCGTAGACGTTGCAGATATATTACGCAAGTTAATTTGAAGGACAGTCATTGAAATAAAAATGCAAATTTTTAATTTTAGGCAGCAAATAGATAAAACGTTTTTTAAGTAAAAGTAAGAAGTATTCTTGCAAGAAAATGTTTTGTATGCACGCCAAAACTAAATTACTCCCGCTCCATTTCAAAGCCAATTGTTCAAGTCATTTCTTTCCCTCTTTCATCTCTCGCAATATTGAGGGTGAATAAATTCGTTACACCGTAAAGCTTTGCCTTTAAATTAATTATTCTGTGCAATTAAATAAAATATCATTATTAACGGGATTTTCCCTGGCCCAGGTGTGAAGCATTTATTTCCCAGAACCCAGTTATACTCCATGATCCGTAGGTAATTACTATAAGGTGAGAAAACAAATGGGACAACTTTAATTGCCGCTACTTATTTAAACCCGACTAGCATCGGAAAGTTTTCGCTTTATATTGAATACTGGAACATGCTGCGTGTCCATCAACTACCTGAATTTAGATTGACGAGAAAGTCAAATGTTTACATTTAATATCTTGGCAAACATTTGACTGAAAATCATTATTCAAATCCCTTTCACGGCAAGCTCATCAAAAGCAATTTAATTTCACAGTTGGTAAAAAATCCGTTCATTTCTCACTTGTCAGTTGCCGTCATTACTTTCCAGTTTGCGGAAGGGCTCGCGTGAGCAATGGGGAAGAAATGAAATCTACCAGAATCGTCGGAGGCGTTCCATCCAGACCCGGAGACTGGCCCTTTTTAGCCGCCCTTCTTGGTGGACCAGAAGAAGTTTTTTATTGTGCCGGGGTACTTATTGCCGATCAATGGGTCCTCACAGCTTCTCATTGTGTTGGAAAGTAAGAAAATTGATCATTATGAGTAATGGGCTTAATCTGATTAACGCTAATTCAATGGAAAAAGCCATGGCTTTTCAACTCAATCTATTATTTCGAGTATAATGCGAGTTAAGTTAAGTTATCGAACCTTTTGCGATTTGAATGAAAATACATTCTAGTCATTCGGATGTCTCCGGGTGGACGATACAATTGGGCATTACCAGGAGACACTCGCATTCGTTTTATGGGCAAAAAATGAAGGTGAAAAGAGTAGTTCCGCATCCCCTGTACAACATTGGCGTGGCCCATGATAATGACGTGGCGCTCTTTCAAGTAAGTCCCGGAATATCCGAAATATTTGAGCACTGAAGAACAGCAAATTCTAAACGAAGGCGAGAGTAGTGAGGTATTGCTTCTTTATTTGTTTAATGCGGTGTTTAAAGAAAATCCTTTTACATGAAACCGTGTGGAGATTTGTTCCCATAACAACCCATAAGCGTCTTAGATGGCATATAAACTGAAAAAGCTGGCATTAAATAAATCGCTTGGAGCAGCATTGCCTCAAGTCATACTACACATGATAACAAGCATCCTTGACCCCAAAATGTTTTCTCAGTCAACATTTTAATCCGCAGCTTTCTAGCAGAGTAACATATCATGAACATCTTTCACCGGTGTGTCTTCCAGAACCCGATACTCCGGTTCCCAATGACATGATATGCACTGTTATAGGCTGGGGCAAGAAAGAAGACACTGGGAGTAAGTACAGTAGCTTTCACGTGGTAGAGTTGCATGGAATTTTACTTTTTACTTTATTTCAACTCATTTGCTGTCTATTCATGTTAAGTCTGGGTTGGCGCGAACATCTTGAGCTGGGATTAAACACAATTCAATACCTGCAATTAGCTTTATTTCATTGACTTTAATCAGACCTCAGACATGTTTTGCGGAATTTACATGCTGCTTCAGACATAATTGTCCGTTTTGTTATTGAGATATACTGCCGGTAACGGAAGTGTTTAAAGGGCTTAAAGATAATATTCGCAAGGCGGTAAATTGAATTATGAAAGTGTTCATACATTAATGGATCATAAAAATAAACGCTCTCTTAGTACTCTTTACCTATAATTCGATCAAATCGCGAAAGGGAAATATCTAAAAGCATTTTGCACTTCAAACTGGCTGCTTAAGTAAGCGATATTTCTATCGCTCAACGAACGTGTACACGCTCATAAAATTCCGCAGATCGCTTTACGTAACTCGCTTTTAATTAATATCTGCTTTAAGTGTTGCGTACGGAGATTTCCGGCAAATATCTACTTGAAAGACTCACTAAATTTATGTGAAACTTTACGAGCTCACTGTATGTATTGTAGATGCCATTACCTTAAACTCGGAGTTTGATCAGGCTTGTCAGTCGATAAAAAAGCATTTAAGAATAATAATTCAAATACTAACTTATTATTAACCGTACAAACAATTTAAATTGGCCCTTGTTATTGAGCGCCCGAAAGTGGTTAAAAAGCAGCTTACCTACGAGGTAAAAAATTGCTTCGAAAACTTCTTTTCGCGCCCTCAAACCAATTAAAGGTGAAAAGAAAAAGGGACCGAGGCCGAAAATAACAAAAAGTTAAGTATAATGGCAAACTGGGTGAGTTTATTTATCACCACCCAATGATTCTTTTGACTTTTGAAAAGAAATATCTTTACGCTTATGACATAATTAAATGGAATTTTTAATAAAACGCGGGGTTTGCTTTGCTTCACAGTATCGTTGACGTTATATAGGGACGTAATGGGGTATTGATTTTAGTTCCTGTGACGCTTATGTGCTCTTTTAGCTCACATATTCCATGCATGTTTTTCAATAGGGGTAAGATCGTGGCTGCATGACGGGCATTTTCTCTTCTTTAGAGAATTGGCCGGAAACAAACACATAATATGCGGGTATTTTGATGTAGGAAATAGCAGCACACTTCAAGTTATGTAAACAGAACATCGTCAAATTTAAAGAATCGGGAGACCATTTCATGAATCACAAAAACAAGTCGATTTCTTGAAAATGAGGCCTTTTTCTCTCGCACGTGTTTGTTTCTCAAGATTCGTATTTTATGTTGCATGGATAGAAACTGATTCGATTTATGCTGCAGATTGGTCTGTTTGACCATTGAAGCATGTTCAGGATGCTCAAGACAAAAATTTCCCATGGCATAATTTAGTTCGGATATCGAACTTTTAAAAGTAGGCATTGCCGTTGGAATAATAAATTCGGATTAACTTAGGTCACCGTAAACAATAGTCGGTTGTTAGTAATACTTAAACCCTAAACCCCAACTACATTAAACATCAGCCTAAAATTGTTGATTTTGGATCGAATTATGAACCAGATTAACGCAAACCATTCAACAATAATTTGACTGTTATAATTCGCAACTCAAACAGATCAAGAACCTTTGAGATTCTATAAAGTTTGAGAAACGCCTTGGGTCAAAGCATGCATGCTTTTATGAAAAGAATCTGGTTTTTTGCACATTTCAGATTCAGAATATGAGCCAGAGATCAACGAAGTTGAAGTTCCAGTCGTGGAACAATCAATATGCAATCATTGGTTGCAATATCGAGAGTTAAACGTAACCACTGGAATGATATGCGCCGGATACAAGAATGGTGGCAAGGATGCTTGCCAGGTAAGCAGAACGTCGAATAGCTATTTTACCAAATAGCTCCGTGAATTTCCGCTTGGAGACTCAATTAAGAAAACATCTTCATAAAGGATTTCCTAACTTTGAACAAAAGGGCAATTTTAAAAAATCCGTTATTATATTAATTTTCAAACATTTATTAAAAACTTCAAAATTAAAAAACATTTAGCACCCGAGCGTAAACGTTGAACGAAACTTTACCGAACGGGTATTCGGTTTTAATTCACGTTGTGCAAATCACTTTGTTTCATCCCGCAAAAGACAAAACATTAAGAAATAGCACGAAGTGCTTCCCATACTGATAGGGGGAACTCGAGCCGAAATAGTCCTACAGGAAATGTGGAGCGACGACCTACCGCAACATTAAATAGCATATGATACCTTTAACGAAAGGTCTGTCGTGTATTGTTATGTTGCTCCACTAAAGAAGTATTCATTGTAATAAATTCGCAATGACTTGAGGCATGAGAAAAACAGACAATCAGAATCAACTTACATTTGGCAAAAAAATAATAAACTGGAAATAAAATTGATTGTTTTTTAATCAACTGGATCCCATCCCCTCTGTGAAGAGAAATATTATACGATATTCTAAGCGGGTTTTTAATATCCGAAATCGCAGAGTTTGCAATGGGGAAAAATGTTCACTGAGCAGCTGATTGAAACCTTTAAAAGGAATGGAGATATCAACACTCGCGTAGATGTGAAACCTATTATATTCGGTTTTAAAAAGATACAGTAGAACACTAAGCTGAATAGAACACTAATTATCAAATGGATAATCTTTTTTCAGGGTGATTCAGGAGGCCCTTTGCTGTGTAGACTACCTGAAGACAGAAACAGGTGGTTTGTTGGAGGAATTGTAAGTTGGGGAATAAAATGTGCACATCCTCATTTACCAGGCGTATATGCGTTCGTACCAAAGTATGTTGATTGGATAAATGCTCAAATGGAAGAATATTCTGAATGAGAAAAATTAATCAATAACGATGACAATAAAGTAAAAAAGAATGATTGGTACAAATTATACAAGCAACATGGTTTTCTATGACATTTACAAAAACATGTTTTCTCTCATAAAAATGAGACTAGAAGCATTTTTATTGATGTACTGTGTTTCCCTATTGATACCCATATACATACATTTGTGTTATAGCATAAGAGAAAATTTTGAAAAGTCTATTTGAATCAACTGATGATTAATCGAGATATTTGCAGGTAAGACTCTAATAATCATCTGGTAGTAACTTTTTCAATCACAAAACAGTTGTTACAAACAATTAATCATCAGATTTTCAAAAATAAAAAATATATGATGTTGACAATATTTAAGATAAATTAGATATACCCCGCCAGATTTCAGGCTACGCACAATATTGTAGTTTGGCCCCTATATAGTGATATCTTATGACAATTTATTAGTGTTCGAGCGGACCGCTATCAATGTGATCTTTGATTTAGTGTACAAGGTGAATGAAAAATCCCATTATGATACATCAAATCATAAAGCATGCCCACTCTTCTGCACTGGAATAATCAGACAAAATAACCAGAATGATTCTGCAAAAAAAACAAAACTTTGCGGCACACCATACAAACTACCGAAATCCTCTAAGGACTTGAGCTCCTATGTATTTTCTTGACAATAATAATCGTAATCTGTCATAGCAGGGGATTTTTCATTAAAACCCTGAGGACTTTGGCCATTTAACATCAATTTTAATCTTAACAAAAACCAATCGGTTGTGATTTTATTCAGGCTATGAGACTAGTTTAGACTGGAAAAAATTGTCAAAGTGAAACGCTTAATTGGGTCTGCTTGAGTCGAATCAACAGTAAGTCAAGAGCACGTGATCGGTGGAAAAGCCATCGCCACAACAGTTTCAAAATTATTCATTACTTTCAGTTGATTTGTAAATCCACTCTCTGACTGAGAGAAAATATCTACGTCAATCATTGGTGTTATAAGGTTACTACTCGAGATTCCCCAAAGTCCTGTGGGCTTTACACAAAATATTTTATACCTTCTAGAAAGAAATTATATAAATAGTTTTCTATAGAATTTATTACCAATGTTACCTACTTGATAATAATGCGTCTTCAGAAAATGGTAAGACGTAACAGCTTTACACTCTCGTATATTCTCGGTTTCGATGGACTAGATACCTTTGCTACAATGAACATTGCTACATTTAGTCACTCAAACTAGGTATATACAAATAAGACTTTAACTTAAAGTAACGGATTAATTATAAATGGAATTGTGAATGTAGCACATGGCCATTATTACCTAATATTAAGTTCAGATGTTGTCAATTTAAACGAAACATAGTCATTTCTGAAGTTAGTTCTGTACAGGGTTTTTTGTCTATTATGAAAATTCTATACTATCTAAAACACATAACTATAGAATTGATGGTTCAAAAGTAAAATATTTTTTCTAAAATGTTCTTACTAATCAAATTTATTTTACTCATTGATAGTGAGTGGTTTAGAAGAACAAATGCCACTAGAAATTATTTACAATTTGGTACTGCTTGTTTAGAGAATCGATCTAGCGATCTTAAAGATTTTTATATATTTTCACTTGAATACTAACAGTCTCAAAATACACTTAAAAACGCGAAATGTTTTAGAAATCTCCCATAGGGCTTAACATCTTAACAGTGATAGAGAGTTTGGACAATATATTTTAGACAATACCTATATTTATGTGTACTACTTATGATGATGTCTTAGAAAATATTTGTCATGTGGGCAATCTGTTTATCAACGACAATAATTGTTTAAATGTTAGTAAGTATGCCTTTTTAAAAAGAGTCAAGATAAATATATATTTTTCAATTCTAGTTTTGCTAGGCACATTGAGTCGTATATTAAATCTGCCGATTAGCTGTGTATGTGCCTTACATATTTACTTAGCGATCTTTATTATACCAAAGTATGTTTGGCATGCCTAATTAGTTAATTGTTATTGTTAGACATTTGCTGTCGCTGTTTGAAGTTTAATTTACAATATTCATAGAATACTATAATAGATACAACGCCTGAGCGTACTCAATTTGTTTGAAAATGTGACTAGCAAAGCTAAAATAAAACCATTTAATGTTGGAATATTGAATGTAATGTTAGTGGATATATTACGTGTAAAACTTAGATCATTTATCATATAGGAAATACCTATAGCTGTTAACGCGCTGAGAGCGACTTTAGTTGATTGTTTCCAAACTAACTAGCTTCGTCATGAAACGTTTGCTATTTTAGTAAAGAGAAATAAACATATTTTTTCATCAATATTCTTGGTCTTAAGAAAGGCTACTAAACGAATTCTAGTTAGGACTTATAGCAGAAAATATTATTTAGGATCCCTTCGACATGTTCAAGCAGACAATGTTGAAATTAAATAATCTAATAATGATACACAACGTTTCAATGGAAAAGATGCAATTATCAGATTATTTATTGTTGAAAATTGTTCTAGGCTAAAAAATAACTATGTGTTCCTTATGGCTATGCTGGCTTTAGATACATGTGATGTCTATTAAAGAAATTATTATGCTTGCTATATATGCTTCCAAAAGTATCCCAAGAACTATTGCTACGTTATCTATGATCCGTTTAAATGTCTGATCAATAATGTGCATGGACATTTTTACCTGCATATTTTAGATAATTGGTTAGAAAGCTTCTGGGAAATTATCCGTGCAAAGAATGGTAGAAATTTGGCAGATCTATTTCAAATAAGCGAACGTTATTCAGTATAGATCAAAAATTCAAAAGCTCAGGATCAATATGTGAAACGTCCGAACTTTGATACAGAGCTGGCACCATTTCCACTATTCTTCGCTGTGCTGTATTTTCTTGTGTTAGTTAAAGTATGTAGTTGGAGAAAATACAACCTTATTATAGCGCGAGAGTTTGTTTTATTTACCATATTATTAGCAAAATTATTTTCCACGACAGCTTGAAAATCCGCAAAACTAACCAGTAAGCTACAGTGTTGTGAAAAGTTGCGGAGTTTCAAGTTTTCCCTGGAAGCTTCCGGCAGCAAATTAACGCTAATCTGAATAATTTCCGTTCGACTTCAATCGGTCTCCATATAACGGGTTATACAATTCGAGGTTGGGAAAATAAAACCGTGCTATTGGTTATCTGTTATATATATTATATTATATTGTTATTATATATATACGATAAGGTTTGCCATTATTGGAATATGGATCGTTTGACTGTTGAAAAACGCGTAAAAATTATTAACTGTTACCATAAACATAGTGATTCTGCTGTATCAACGTTTAGGGCTTTACGAGCAGATTAGGATCGACTTAATCGACCCAGAGAGCCAACAATTTCGAAAACGGTGGAAAAATTTGAAGAGACTGGATCGGTTACTGATATTGTAAGACCTGTGCATCATCGCAACGTTCGTTCAGCCGAAAATATCGCTGTTGCTGCTCAAAGAGTGAAGGAAGACCTGAATTCGTCGATTTCCCGACGTGTCCAAGATTTGGGCTTGTCTTACGGCTCATTGTGGCGAATTTTGCAATTGGATTTGAAGCTCCATCCGTACAAAGTCCAACTGACTCAAGAACTTAAGCCTCATAACCATGGGCAACGCAGAACATACGCAAATTGGGTGAGAGAAAGAAAGAGAAAAGAAGAGAAATTGAAGATTATGATCTGGAAAAAGGGGCAACGAGTCATACAACACTGGCAGTTAGAGCCGTATTGCAAGAGAAATTTCCAGGACGCGTGATTATGAGATTGAGGGATGTCAATTGGCCCGCAAGATCCTGCGACTTAACACCGTTAGATTTATTTTTGTGGGGCTGTGCGAAAGATTGTGTTTACGCCAACAATCCTCAAACTCTTGAGCAACTGAAAGCCAATATCCGTGAAGTTATGACCGAGATATTACCGGTAATGGGCCGAAAAGTCTTTCAAAATTACCTCAAAAGGATTGACTCCTGTAGGAGGTCCCGTGGACATTTAAATGATATTGTTTTTCACCTAATGGCAAGGTTTAATCTTTATATTGAGTTAGAATTTTCGCCTCCATCTGAATATTTTGTGTGTTTTTTTTACTTTACTTTCCAAGCATAAAATCGATAACCCAGTGGTATTCAAAATAACTTCCAGTTTATTTTCTTTAACGATGCAACTGCAATTTAATTAATTCCTTTGCAGTGGAAGTTAAATAAAAAAGCCACAGACTGGGATTTTTCCATTCAATGCTGGATTTTTTTTTTGGTGATAACTCGCAATGCCATCTTTATAGAACGTGCGATAAGAGTGGAAATCTATTTTACTAGGTACATCTGAACTAGAAACTTTAGATCCAGGAACGAAAGTTATTGGAAAATCGACCTACGCGACCTTTTTCCTGGATTAAAGCAAACTGTAAGCCGCCAATCAATAAATCTTGTCAAGAGGTCGCAGGTAACTGCATGGGAGCTTCAACAACTCATCGATATGAGTATTTTTTCCTGCTCTAACTAATATGGATTTCCAGGAGTTTTTATGTGCTGTTGTTTTCAAGTCGTAGTTCTTCGTAATTTACCGAGATTGACTCGCTGTGATATAAAATGATTGACGTCATACCGTTGTTTGGAAACGCCACCTTTTATTTCACACACTCTTGATTTTGTTCCGATTATTAGCCAAAGAGCTCAAAAGCAAAGTAGCTTTCAAGTAATAATTTTTTTCAAGGATAATCAAATATTTAATTTGATATTGGATGTTTAATGGTGGTATAATTTTAGGTGAGGCCCCAAGTAACCTGGAGTAAAGCGATTAAATCTCCTGCTTTCATTTTGTAACCAACTTTTTGGAGACTTTTATCTAGTATTTATTAATGAACCAATCAAAACCTAATTACTGCATGGGTTCTTACTATTTTATTTTTGCCATTTATGCCTAGCAACGTACAATAATTGATAGTTAATAATTGAACTGTGTCTAATAAAGTTTTAAAATCAAATATAATCTACCAGTTCGCGAATTAATAATATTAAAGGCAAATGTGCCATTATTGTTCAGCCTGTACAAATTGAAATGACTAACTTTATGAATAGCATATTTTGCTTGGCTACGCATCCCACATTTCAAGTGGTTGATATGGTAATATTAACAAAAGATTTGTTTCCCAAACGTAATAAATGTTCAATTAGTAGCAAAGCCACTCTATCATTTTACCAAAATTATTAATTATCAAATTAAGTAGTTATATAGTTGGCACATATTAAGCTGTATATAGTGTTGGAAATTCATACTGAGCATAAAAAGTTGATTAGGAAAATAATAAAATACGTTACGAATGATTAGAATTCTCATTTCATTGGATTCAGATCTGTGATTGAATAATTAATTTACTTGTTAAGTGCAAGCTGCTTTTCCTGTTTTTAATTTATTTCACCATTTTCAACCGAGTAAAAAGTGTTTCAAAATACATCAGCTATTAATTTTTAGGCAATTTTTACCTATACAGGGTGTCCCACCGGGAACCGCCGCGATCGATATCTGGCAAACTACAATTAGTAAAAATTGGAAAATTGAACAGTGTGCCTCATTACACAAAAAAATGTATGTGCTGCAAATTAAGTAGCACATATTCCCTTATAAGAAAAATTAATAATTATTCAAGTGGCTGCAACTGTCATTTTTACATAAAATTTCAAATATAGCAAAAACGGTTAGACTTGGATTTATCATATACATTAAATATATTTAGAATTTGGAGTTGAATTCAAAAATGTAATAATATATAGGGTGTTACAAGTTGATACCTACTTCCGTTACGACTGGAAGTGTGGCAATCGTTAAAATATTTTAGACCGCTTGCCGCCAATGACTTAGGCACACTTTCCAATTTTCAAGTTTCTCCTAATTACAGTTTGCCAAAGATCGATTGTGGCGGCTCCGAATGGCACACCCTGTATATGAAATAATAATACAGTAAATTCCGCTTATAATGAACCCGGTTATAGTGAATTTTCGGTTGAAACGAACTATTTTCCTTTAATTGAAACGTCGTCCATAAAGACCAACGTATTTTTTTACTGGTTATAACGAACCCGTTTATAACGAACTTCCACGCTCAGCAACACCAATCGTGCGGAGTTGTTTATATTAGTGAGAGCGAGAGACAGGCAGTGACTGTTGTTTTTTTTTGCCCCGTTATGTATGTAAATCGTTTTACAATGGAAAAATAAAAATGCAAAGCTTTTTCACTAAATGAAAAGTACGAGATTATTAACACAATAAAAAGTAAGTAAAGCAGAGTGACATTTGTAAGGAATTAGCACTTGGAAAGTCTACTGTTGCAACAATATGGAAAAACAGAGAAAACATTTTATCAGCGTATGACAAACCAAATGTTAGATGTAGGAAGTTAAAATTATCTGCACATGAAAAGGTTGACAAGGGACTTATTAAGTGGTTTACTCAAAAAAGACAAGAAAACGTT